TATGCACCTGCAAAGTACTTAATTTGTCGAGGAAGATTTTCAAGATTCCTATTGTACAAATGGCGAAGTTGCCTATATGGAAGGTTGAGATGCTGTAGAAAGAATAAATCTTTAAGTGGTGATACCATGTTAACACCAACCAGTGACAGTGTACAACCGGTTTTGTACTCAGTGCCCTTGCTGTCTGTTAGTTTTAAAACGTAAAGATGGTGATTGCACCATCAATCAACGTAGCTAGAAATTACCTTTACTGTAACTGTCAATCAGGACATGTCAATCTAGTTGCGCCTACGTTAAGGGTGCATGCTTTGTGGCAGTGTCGTTAAGTCGCGTGACCGAAGAAGGTCAATTAATTAGTCAGTCCACTAATCGAAAGTTGTAAGTTCTTCAATTGTGAACGTTCGTTACATCGATCAAAGTCGTGTTTAACGAATCTACGTACTCGCGGTGTTTTGAACGTTATCAACATTACGGTGCGCGTGTAAACCAAAGTGAGTACACATTGACCTTTCTTTTTGTACACGAACAACAGTGCTTCTATAATTATTTTAGCTAGTTACTTCATCTATTGATATGTATAACTAGACGATGCGCACTATGTGATAGAGCATGGTTTATAATATTAATTTCTTAGTTTTTTATGATTATTGATTTATTGCGTTTTCAAATGATCGCGTGTTGCATGACATTGTCACGCAAACAGCTTTGTGGTAGTTAAAGCATGTCATTATCTATTATGCTATATAGTTCGAACCGGCTCACAGTTGGCCATGGCTATCTTTTAGCCATGCTAGTAGGTGTAATCTACGCTTGATTGAACTAATATATAAAATACAAAGCCACAACTTGTCTAAATATCGATGCATATATGTAGTATATCCTTATGAATATTGTTTGGCATCTAATAGACTAAGATATAGCTGCTCTATAAAGAATATACTGTCTGTACTAGTTTGAACGCAATGCTGCCATTATTGCTTTGAAGTAGTTTAAAAGTTCAGGCAGTGCAAGGAAGTCTGCTTAAGAGCTAATAAAAGATGGGCTGATATCATTTATTAGATAATTGGACATGAAAAATCTAGTAGCTAAGAAGGCCCTCAATGTATTAAATAACTTCTAGACAAAGAGCCTTTTCTTGTCAAAGTTATATAATGAAGGCAATAAGCAATGTCTCTTTCTGGAGTGATTAGAGCATCTATATTAAGAATTATGCTCCTTTTCAAAGTTCAAGTTGACAAATACCCCCCCCCCATGCTACTTTCTTTCTTCGGGTCATTTAAATTGATTTAATACCACCCCCCACTTTAATTTGATTTTATGTTACTTCTAAAATTGCAAAAAGGAAATTTAATTTTCCATAGGTGGAGAGGGAGGGTGTGCCCACAGTATCCTATATTTTTGCAAATTTTAATACTTTTTCTAAATGACCACTATAAATTACATTAAACTAGCTCAATTTTTTAATGTTTCACATCCAGCCAGGTGGTTTATCTCCTGTGTGCGATGCCTAGGTTTGAAAATGGGTTGATACTATTTTTCAGTTTCCAATTTTCTAAAATTTTTTATCCATCTTTCGAATATTTGCAAACTCAGAAATTGAACCACTGACAATACCTTTTGGCAAAAGGTATTGTCAGTGGTTCAATTTCGCCTTTTGGGTAGTTTTTGGTTTAGGGTCTGGTTATTTTCGCAGTTTACTTGTTCTTTATAAGAGTGTGAGCTTTTGGTCGATGGAAAATAGGTGTACTTCAGCCGATCCTCTCTCCCCGCCCGTGGAAAATTAAACCGCGTAAACAAGTCGCAGTATTTAAATATTATATTAAAATCATAAATTTTACCTTTAAACCGCATGTATCCAATTGTAAGCACATTTTTAAGCCCTCCAAAGTAACTAGATTGATATAAACACATTCTTTCGAGTTGCTAAACTTCGTTGATACGTCGATACGTTGAACAGCAAAACTAACATCCGATATTATAGATTTTGCTTCTTCTCGGAAATCAATCTCTTCTTCTTCCCTGCACATCGCCATATTGAAAAATATTAAAGTCAATCACAAGTACTTTGTGTAAGTCAAAGTCAAATGCTCCAAGAGCTTTCTCTCTCAGGTCAATGCGAAGTTGTCAATGCGGGTACCGCATACTACCCTATAATACTACCTTTTATGGTTTTGATACCTTCAATGAGCTTCCCAAAAGAAAATTTGTCAAGGAAAAATCGTTCTCATTCATAACCCTATGGTTAGGCAGAAAAGTTGCCTGCTCGAACAAAATTGGCAAATATTTTCTTATAATTTTCTTGTTGTTTGTTCAATTTCTAATTCATGGATAATACAATGCAGTTATTTATGGAAAAAATTGAATAATTTTTAAAAGTTTAGGCTTCGTATGTGGGAAGGCTTCAAACAATAGACGTCACATTTGATTAAAAAAATTATCAGAATTCCTTAATTGGCTATTTTAAAAAATTGTTGCAGAATAATTCTACATACTGTTAAACAATAATGCAATGAAATATTCCGATCTGCAGGTAGAACTATTGTCGCAAAAGGCAATATATACCACCTTGCGAGAAAAACACTTTGAAACACAACCATTGGCCAAAAGCCAAAGACCAAAGTCAAAAATTTTCGCAAGATCTTCATAGTTCAAACGTCGCCATTGCTTAAACAGAGTTGCCTTGACACATTTTCTGCAGTTTCCATGTTGATAGAACTTAAGGGTGTCTCTCCGGATCGTCCTGCCCCAAATAACATACATGGTTGCTTTCTAGGTTTCTGTAATTGGCATGGGGTGAAGGATTCGGTAACCGTGGGTGCGCTTGCTGACTGGGTAGAGGATTTTGGAGTAACCATTGGTAATACGCCTGTTGTGACACTTGTAGAGAAGCTAGACTACTTGTGAGTGTGGCACAACAAGTTCAGGGGTATAGGTTAGACTTGAGTCGACGGGGGTGGGGAGGGATTGATGGAGGGTGGGCATGAATTGCTTTGGTGACTTGAAAGAGGTTGTGTCATGTTGGGCGGAGCTACCTGGGTTATGCCATACAGTAGGTTTCCTTTGGGAAATGCCATACCATTAGGGGACATTGGGAAAAAAAGCTTTGCGCCTGTGAAAGGTGCAACTGGTGATGGCCCACAGCTCTGGGAAACGGGATAAGGTGAGATACTTCTCATGAATATTTGATTACCTTGGCTTTGAAATGGACCCATGCCTGCTTTGTTTGGTAGCTCTGGAGTGGAAGGAGGAGCAGGAGGAGTGTTGCTTGGTGATAGTGCAGGTGGCTTCCATGGAGATGGAATACGATGGTGTAAAAAAACAAGAGGTTTAAGTGGGCTGATATCTTTTATAAGGCTGGCCTGAATAGCAATTGAGGACCGTGGATTTAGTTTGCTGGGAGGAATAGGAGATACAGCTTGGTCGACCAACTGCACCATTGGGCTAGTACGTCCATTGCCAGTTGTGAAGCGTCTCGCCATTTGTTGCCACTTGCAGCTGCTCCTATGTGGTTCTTTCATTTGTATCCCTTGCTGCAATTTTTCATCAATTATTGAACCCGCATTACCGGTCACTATAGCATTAGTATTCGCAGGTAGAGCATTTGAGGTTTGAGTTTCGGACTGGTTGTAGGCACACGAGGACATCACTTTGAATGGAGAGTCAGTAGAATGCATGAATTTGCTTTCGTTTCCAGCCTGATTTTTATTTTCTTCGTTTACTTCATCTGAAAAATCAACGATATTTACAATCACCGATTCGCAAGATGTGAGTAATAATATTTGGTTAAAATCACTAAAAGTGATTGTAACTTAACTGCCTCGAGAAGTAATTAGTCGGTTTTACTAGGCCTTTTAAATCAGTGGCCCGATTTATATGTACTATAAAGGACGAATGATCCGTCTTAAGGCTAGTTTCCCCTCAGGAAAATTCCCCTTTGGATCGCACAGGACAGAAAAGTTTCCTTTGTATAAACGCCGCCTGCATGAGAACTCACCGGCAAAGGAAATTTTCCTGTCCGTTCCGATCCAAAGGAGATTTTTCCTGAGAGGAAGCTAGCCTTTACAGATCATTTGTCTGATTATAAAGACACGACAACTATCTAGATAAACTATGTAGACGAATATGTCAGACTATGGTCAGACGAAACACAATCGCGAGTTAGAAACTGCACAGTTTTAGAGAGTAAGTTAGAAAGAGTCCTTTTTGATGACTTTTATGTCCCCACCCCGTATTTATATTTACAGACGGATGATGCGTCAAAACTAACTACCTATTCAAATTGCGGAGAAAATTTACAAATACACTTTACAAACACACATTTTCCAGCAGTACCAAGGCATAAATAATTGCATTATAAAGTGTTTTACCTTTTTCCGTATTGGCTTCCGAACAACTCGCACTATCCACATCCACTGTATGGCAATCTCCCTCAGAATTTGTACGCACTCGTTTTGCGTTTGTTTCAGAGCTGCTTGAGTTTAGTTTATTCTTAGTGAACAAATTTCTTCTGCTTGTCTTGTTCCCATTGCCTGGAAAAGACGAGGGCAGGTATGGCGGCAATATTGCCAACAGTTGAGACATACGTGGAAAGAGTTAAGAAATTTTCAACAACATGTATGTATGTATATATATATATATATATATATATATATATATATATATATATATATATATATATATATATATATATATATATATGTAAAGCGCGGAGGTAAGTACTGCACTATTTAGTATAATGCAAAAATCTGACAGAAGTGTTACCTCAGGTATCTATATAATTATGGGGGGCTGTTGAAAATGCAATGTACCCTAATTAATGAATTATCTATCCTTACTCAATATGATAATACGCTTATTTTGCAGAGACAATTGACCACGTCTTGTTTCTTATACTGATATTAAGGCACCTTGGTAGTCCATCAAAATTTAACAAGAAGATTTTATTTTCTGTTACTGCATGCTGTTTGAGAAAGCAATCTGTAATATACTGGCATACAGTTTTAAAGGATATGATCTGGGAATTTCTCTCGTAGTTTTTGTATTTCTTCACGAAATGTAACTTCAGTTGGACTGTACAGACTCATATCCCGACCTATGAAAAAATATTTAACCACATAACACAACAGGTACATTATTGTACTTAATCAAAACAAAGCTATAAAACTATCCAGCTACGAGTTATTTAAAATTTGCATATACGCAAACACGGCATTGATAAGGATTAACCATTAACTATGGATTAACCGTCTTTTGACTCTAGGACGTATGTTATATATAGGACTTCATGATAAAGTTATTCCATATATAGTAAGAAAATTTCACGATACCAAATAGATTCACAGGGGAGGATGCAAACTCATGAACGTGAAAGCCATCTTGTTTTTCAGCGGTACTGCTATTTGACCTCTCTCTCTTAATTCCTCCACCATTTGAACTGGACCTTCTGACAAACGATGCGCTACAGGAGGCAGACTTTGTCCAACTTTTATTCGGGTTGGCGGTTGCGCTGTGGGACGAACTAGGTGCTGGTAGGATGTGCGGTTGTATTTTGTTTGTGGGGTTACTGGTTGGATCTGGTAGCAGCGAGTGCTTGGTCTTAAAGGTTACAACATTACCATCGGGCACTAGTAAAAATAATAAACAAAAGTGTACATGGTTGCTTGGAAAAACGCAATTTATTTCTTACGTCGAAGATATAATTCTTATCCGTCAGAAATATGCTTGAAATTCATTTCACATTTCCAGGCAATCATGTAATATTTTAACTTTTTTGGTTAGTTAACGATTTGCCAAACTGAATAACAGTATTATAATATATTATATTATAATTAAAACACATGTATTCTTATTCACCTGTAAGCTGATTTTGTGTCTTAAAATACCCAGCGATGTCACAAAAACGATCTATTACGATCTATATGTGTCCATGGAATTTACCCCTTTTCTATGTGGAATCGCAGGCTCATGTAAAAATGACATGAATTCTCAGCCTAGATATTAATTTCGAGTTCTATTCCCGTCATATGTTAATCCCGAAAAGTATTATAATAATTATATGGAATATAGTGCATGCTTTTATATGACCAAATTGACCGAGAAATTCTTATATTTTACATACTTGCATTATTAGGCAGACTTTCTATATCAACGCCAATCCATTTGAATCCAGGTTTTTTCCCAACTGCTCCTCGTATATGCACCTTCTCAATAAGCTCCAGACTTGATAATATGTTGGCGATATCATACAAGCGGCGAACTTTGGCTGATTGATATGGAAGTACAAATTACAACATGGTAGAACATGGTGGTATATATACCAATTTCTGTATCTCACTACACATCGCAATGACACCGCAGAAATTTGACTGTTTTAAGACCTTTCAACCCGAAAATCTAATCGCTGTATCGCTATCAAAGAGAAACCTTTTGAATATCTTAAAAAGTTCAATTTTTCTTCTGAATACGCATTCTGCAATCTTAACTTTGACAGGTCATGATACACATCTGATCGCTGCATGTGAAATGGCTATTTAGAGCCTTAAAATATACACAAGGTTATATTAATTCAGACGATTCGTTTTTACCGTGTACAAGCTTCAAATCTTTTGTGCAAGACATATTTTCTTGAATATATTTATAAATGTTTTTTCTCACCAAGTTTGAAGTCTAAGTATTAAGAATTGCGGCTAAGTCTATACCAATATCCGCGGCAATCGCAATGGCGTATGGCTCCAAATAAGGCCTCATTAGTATAGATGAGCTAATAGCTTTGCCCCGTTTTTCTTGTGATGTTCGCATGAGAAAGTTTGGACAAGCTTTTCTTGCAATGATGCTTTGAGCAAAAACAGGTCGCAAAACTCTTTCGAAAACGAAAAGTTTTCGAAAAAGAAATTTGTTCGCATGTGTACGGCCGTTTATAGGAAACGTTGGGAGAGATGGGGTAGACGACATTTTGTTTTGGCTGTTGCGTACACTCGTAAGGCCAATTTTAGTTTGGAAAAATATGTTGAAATCCACTGGCATGTTAAGAAAACCAAAAACATTAGACTTGAATACTATAATCATACTGAAGAAATTATTGAAATCAGAATATATACAGAGGTTGCAGCGGGCACAACTCTCATATAGCTTTGGAGAACACCTAAGTTTCACTGGTTCACAATTGTGCAATTCGTTATCGCTATCGCTATCAAAGAGAAACCTATTGACTTTAAAAAGGTAAAATTTCAAGTTCTGAAATTAATACGCATTCTGCAATCGTTTGCCGTCTGCAAGCTTCAAATCTTTTGCGCCAGACATAATTCTTTTCTCTTGCCATGTTTGAAGCTTATTGAGAATTTCGGCTATGGTCTTTTTCAACTTCTGCAGTATCGCTTTGAAGTGAACGAGCAATTAAGAAAGAATTAACCATGCAAATAACCATTCATCTTGCTTTATGTATAGTTTATGACATACACGCGCAGTTAATTCCCTCCCCTATCAATCTGAAAAAAGATCCCCCGCAAAAAAATTGTACCTACTTTTGTATTTAACATTTCGTTCGTCATGTTCTTCTAACAAAACAGTAGCAGCATCTTCAAGTGTGACAACGCCGCCCTGTAACAAAACAAAAGTCTTACATGCTCACCCTGTTCTATATATATATATATATATATTATATATATATAATATATATATATATATAATTATATATATAATATATATATATATATATATATATATACCGAGAGAGATATATTACTAGAATGGGAAAAAACTGGCATCTTACCTTAGAAAGTAAAAACATTAAAAGAAATTTCTGGCTTAAAACGCCCAATGATTTGTCCTTTCGACAACTGTCCGTTGAATCAATCGCAGCTGAAAAGAGAAAGATGCTTTTGAAAACGAGTTGGCAAATCTGGTATAGGAGGCTAAAAAGCCTGTTGCCAGACACGCAGTTCGAGGCAACTTAAGCAGGCGGTATTATTTTGGTGAATGCGAAACCAACTATGCAATTCTCAACGCAACACTATCGTATAAGCTTACTAAAAAATTGGCCTGAGCAAAACTACACCTTTTATCATAAATCGTTCTTCATCTTTTGTCAAAATTCTTTCTTTCGACTGTTTGTTGGGTTTAGGTAGATCACCGCAACTGAAATGTCTCTTCATCTATATTGGAATAATGAAATTATGGAACAAATTTCAATGATAGGTGCTCAGCGCACGAAACTGACGAAGTATAGCTACATGATGGTATAAATACCATAAGTATAGACCAATGCATGTGGGGGCCTATTTTTTTTTGCGCCGTGGATATATCGCATCGCACTTCATTGTATATAAGCCTATATGTTAATGTTTGAGTTGACTCCTGGGAACGCATGCATGTATAAGACTCCTTGCCCTTGGGCCGGTTGTTTAACAACCGGTTAACTCAAGGTCAGCGCTATAACCTTAAGCTTTGAACAATCGCCCCTTATTATTAGCATTAAAACCACTGGATGTTCCGCAAATCAACAGAAAATGTCAGCAAATGAATTCCTGGCTCATAAAATAGACCCTTTCGATAATAGCTACGTCACGACATTATCGTTTTAAAATTAGAAACACCTTAAATGAGATTCATTTCCGGCAAGTTTACTCTCACAAGCCACGTGCAAAGATGCAAAACACTCTTCTTCAACTCATGCATGAAAAAGAATATTCAACTTTGACCAATAAATGTGGAAATAAGCCGTAACACTAAAACGAGGCTACTAGGCCAAACCCGGGAGCCTCGCTCTCGAGTAATGGCCTATTTCCACATATATTTGTCAAAATGAAAAATTCTTTTTCATGCATGTGTTGAAGAAGAAGGATGTTTTGCATTTTTGAGTAAAACTTGCCGGAAATTAATCTCATTTAAGGTGCATGTTTCTAGATTTAAAACGATAATGTTGTGACGTAATTATCGAATGAGTGTATTTAGACAAAAATGTAAACGTTAGCATGTTGTCACTGAATGTTATCATAAAAATGATTTATTTCCGTTTGGATCAGCTGGAAATTGAGATATCATCTCTGCTACTGGTCTGGATGACTGGTCACAAGTTAGGCCCCACCTTTGTTTACCAGAACTTGGGTTTTTGGTAAATTTTCCTTTTCCAGTGTTTCATTTGTTTTAATTATACTGTTTCTTGAAAGAGCCTGAAAAAATTGTAATATTAAACATGGGGCAACTTGCGTTCCACAAGCTTAGCTTCAGGCTTAGCACGAAAGCCATATGAAACGATTTAGAAACTGTAAGTGTAAAAACTGCAATTAGATGAGAATACATGAAAGGTAAAAATTATTATCCAAATTTATTCAGCTTTTCAGTCTGTTGGCCTGAAAATAGTTGTGTCTTAATTTGTGGCACATTGGAAACATTTCTTATCATTTGCTCATTTGGTGGTGGCTGTGGAGGATAATTAGTATCTGCATTCTGTGCCCAACATTTCAGGCCAATAACGGTCAATTAAATCACTTATTAGTAAAACCCAGAGACTTACTGACCTTCAGTTTTCCAAGTGTTTGTATAATCTTAGACTTGCCATGCCATAAATATCTATTCTTTGCCAAACGACTTAAAACTTCCACACTCTCAAGAACATTTACTATGTCATAAACTCTTCTTCTTTCCACTTCTAGCAAGCCACCACAAGAAAAAATAAAAATAAGTTTAAGAATGCTCGAAAACATACTTAACACTAATGCCAGCAATGGGAGTAATGAATAATTTGTGGTCATCTTAGAGAGTAGAATTTAGAGTAAAATACACTGCAGCAATGACCAAAATTAAAAACATGTTAGTATATTTTCATTCAAAAAATATGTATTTTCATGGAAAACCCAAGTTGATTTCAACTTTTATAGTTTTGATTTCTTTTTTAGTTTGCATTCATTCCGAAGACCAATTAAGTCAAATGCGCAGAATATGTAGTGTGTTATTTTACGAGCATGTTCTTTGAAGTTTTGCATGGTGTTGTTAAATATTATTCAAAAGCTTATAAATAAATAAATTACATGGTGTATATCACAAACATTTTTGAATAATATTATTTTACGAGGTTCTGGAATGCAGCAAACCTCATAACTTGTAATTAAGCTCTGGATGTTTTCCAGGCTTATTTTGTTGCGGTTACACAATGAAACTTTTGGTAAGAATTTTAAAACAAATGCTGTTCGCTAAATTATATAATAAATCGAACACTTTCTTGCATGCTTTCACCGGCCCACACAAGAGAATTTCTAGTATTATACTTTACAATACATAATCATGCAGAGACATAGACATGTAACTAAGTACCTGTATAGGCTATACCATGCAATTCAAATAGACAAAAAATGCATTTGTCACAAAATCAGGTGAGACAGAGTTGAGGGGAGTTTTGTAGAAGAAATGTTAACAAATATATGAAGCCTACATGACTTACTTAGATCTTTAGAGACTTCATCCAAAGATATTTCAATTGCATTCCCATTGGTATTTTCTGGAAACATTGCTAAGAATCTATAAAGGTGTATATATATAGTCACAAATATAATACAAGTCACAAATATAATACAAGTCACAAATATAATACAAGTCACAATGTTGTTAGTAGTGCTTTTCATTATATATATATATATATATATATATATATATATATATATATATATATATATATACACATTGTCAACTGACATAATTTGAGTGGTCTATGCAGGGTCTACAGATTATCAGAGAATGGGAGAGCTAAGTTCTAAATAGAACCCCACAGTGACATTTTAATTTTCTATATTTATGTAACCCTTTAACGTAATTTCTATTTCAATAATTTTGGCAACCCCCCCCCCATCCATATTATATTATCCTTTTAAAGCTGGATATAAACATACTCATCTGTTAGTCAAAATAATTGCCTATTGAGAGCCGCAGTAAAGATTCTTTTTATTAATTGTACTCAGCTGGCTCCATTCTTACATTTTTATTGCTTTTCAAGCATAATTAACATTTGAAAGCATCACTATTTGGGAGTGGTGGAATGAAAGATGGGTAGCACTATTCATTGGTTTTCACTCTAAAATTGCCTGTTGTTCTGTACATAGGCATAACTCAGATTAACCATTTGAAATTTTGAAATTGGGGATTCAATCTTTTAACAATTGTTAGCTCCTAAGCGGTAATTTTATTGCTTTTCCTGGATTTATAAAATTGCTGCAAACCCACAGTCCTGTGGATGGTGCTTTATGTTGACTTTGCACAGCCTGACCCTGGTCGACAGCATTATCCAGTCTTTGTATAACCAGCCTCTGCACGTTTGATGCACACATTACCTCTGACACAAAAGGCCAAGTGACTTATCCTTCCTACTGTAGGCATTTGGTTTCTCTATGATAATCTCATTGGACACATTGTCATCATTGCCAACAAACAAATCTCGCTTTTTCTCATCTCTGTCACGAATTGCTGGACTAACAACACTCATTAACATCTTAAGATTTGCAGTAGGAGTCAAAGGGTTGTTACATGGTGTTGACTCAATTGAGGAAATTTTATTTGGGGTAGAGTGGACTTCTAGTTCTGCACCCACATTTTGATTCAAGCAACCATAGTCTTGTCCTTGGATTTTGTTTTCAATGTCAATTGCTGAACTACATGCTGAGGTACCACTACACTGGGAGCTTTCCTGTTTGTCTAAAGTTTCTTTTTCTGTTACAGCAATGGCAGAAAGCTCAATTAGTGATGAATGCTTTTGAAATATTCTTTTGGGCAAACAGGGAGGTTGTTCTTGTGTTGGACTCTCGTTTGCTTCAATCCATATTCCACTGTTTATTTGCCTTGGCACGAAATTAGTCGATGCTGTTGTATTCTCGTCGTCGTACATGCCTTAAATTAAAAAATACGATAATTCTTTAAACAATATTATTTATTTGATAATTATACATGTTGCAGGCAGCACACATGCGGCCAGAAATATTATAAATGATATCAATAGAAACATTACATTCACTGTTTCACAAATATACATCTGTAAATACCACCGTGTTCATGTAGACCGCCTAGTTAACTATAAATACAACAATTGTATTTGTAGACTTCATAATACATAAATGTATATTTTCAAAGAGCAACAACATAATAACGCCCATGGACTGTAATTTCCCCTAAGAACTGACTGGCATTCAATAATACACAAAATACACATCTCGAAAGATGGCGTCCCAAGGGTAAAATTTGCAAGGACAATAAAACAAATATAATGCATTTAAAAACCTTTAAAATTATAAATAAATACTCACTCATGTTATCTTTATTTTACGTAAAATTCCGTATGGTTATACGGGCGAAAAAATGATATAATATCCAAATTTAAAATGCATATTGAATCTACAAATTGCTTTAATAATTGTCTCATTCCTACAACAGTTGATTTTGGCGCGCTATTTCCGCGGCATTTTTCGGTTGGCGGCATTGGCGGTTTCCCAGTGAGATTGTCCAATTGAATGAGACAAAAGGAATTAACCAATCACATGCCAAGATTTCATAAAGCCAGCCAATTAAAACCCGGAATTTGCGACTCAGGAATTCAAAAATTCAGCCTAACACAAATTGAGCCTGCGAGCAACAAACTTGGATTAGCGAACCGGATTAGCGTACTTGCGTGAGCACCTTGCTAATCTCGTGTTGGAATGTAAGCCAAGCACGTCGCCGTCACACTCGAAAACTAGTGATGATACTTTTTGTCACTGATCACTGATCCATAGAAAAAAAGAGTTCAGTGTTCCCGTTGAATATTACCATTTTTACCTAAAAAGTAAAAACATTACGCGCTGCACTATTATTTCTACAGTGAGCATTGTTTAGGTCGGTAAACTATGAAAAGTAGTTTTATAATTTATTATTAGCACTAGGGAAATTTACAATAATCGTTCATGCATTACATATAAAACTAAGTTCTACAGACTAAGTTAATAGTTCTACATACTATTATTCAAAGTAGTTTGATTAACTGCATTCTTATGATAGCAAGATAAGCAAGCTATCTGTCTAATTCAATGATTTCATAAAAATAAACCTTCTCCGCATACTGTGATACTGTTACCAAAACTTATAGCTTAGAAAACGTCTAAAAATGCCACTAAATGCTTCCAACATTTTAAATTTTTAACCTGAACTGAAGACTGATCATTAGTGGATCACTGAAGAAATGTGGCACTGAGCGTCTGACAGAAAAAATTTCAATGGCGAATTTTCCTAAAGTGGAAACAAAATCAGAGAAATTATAAATAATTTTTGCTTTCACATGGCGGGGAAAGAAGGTATATAATATATTGATTGTTTTTTCTTATTTTTTGTCTCTATTACTCCGAATTTATTTTCATCACGATTGACACCTTTCATGTTGTATATTTAGGGTCTTGGCGGTCGTATAAGCTGTTATTATCGGTGGTAGAATCTGCTATTTTGAAGAATAGACCTGAAGCATATTATGATCTTGATAGCATATTGAAAAGATTTAAGTCGGAGCTGCTATCACCCCTAAGAAATCCGGTAGGTTGTTTTAATTAAAGGATATAGTATAAAGTTTGATGCTATGGAGCCAACGAAAACGTTCGTCCAAATACTGGTTCAGAGCCACTGTTCAGAACACTAGAGTGACTAGACCAAAATATGCATTGCATACAAAGCAACAGCTTTAGGGGACCATGATAATTTTTATCCAATAAACCTATTTAACACCATGAATTCTAAATGCTGTTTTGTCACATGCAAGTATTGGTCAGTTTTAATATTGTAATCTTCAGGTAACTTGTTGAAAGGGCCTGTTTACAAAATATGTGATCAATGTTCTTTTGACTATTTTTTGACACAAGCTCTCACCAAAATTTGTTTGCACTGTTTGTCCTAAGTTGTTGAAAGGTTCGGGACAACTGGTTAAAAAGTTTTAACAAAGTTGTTCAATCATCAGACTTGTTACAGGGTTGTCTCAACAACTGGTACAAACATCATCTAACATTGTTGCTACAATCTTGTGTTGCCAACTTGTAGCAACCTTGTTATAACACAGCTGTATCAGACTTGTCAAAACAATCTTGTAACAAGACGCCTGCTTAGGCATTCTCTTGGTCTACAGTTATCTTGTGGTAAAGTCGCATGTTCATGACACCCCTTTGAGAAACAATCCTAGGACAATTTCAATTTGTTCGAAGACTTCATGCTGCCCACATGTGATTTTCGTACACTTGTGATGCAAAAGTAAAAACCGAGCCTATGTTTCAACTTGTTCTACTTATGGTAGCCTGAGTAACAAGTCTAATAATACACTTAATAAACTGGTTACAACAACATAGAGCATTGACATCTTGTGAAAAAATGTATAGACCACTAATATTATCAATGCAATAATACCAAATTGATAAAATTGTCATGAAAACTCTGTATTGTAATGTTATTATTAAGTCATCACAAAACTCCGGGAAGTGATGTTTTAACATCATTAGTTATAGTTCATAAGTTACTGTATGATATGACAAGATTATAGTTCACAAGTTACCATATGATTGGTCATATTAAAAACATAGTAGCAAAGTTCTATGGTTATGGTTAAAGTCTAACAAGCAATTAGTGATAAGACTGTTTATCAATTTCAGGCAAAAAATGCTGCGCATCGAGGCCAGGTTCAACAGTCAACAACAGTAGGAATTAGTGTTAGTGAACATGCTCAGAAGCAGAAGTTTCCTCCACAGTTTGTTGAGGAGGCGTTATTGCTCAGCGATATCTTGAACATGAATGAATTGGCTGCTGTTGAGCTGTTGTTGGTCAGTGAACAACAGAAAGCTAACTTTCCAGGGTATACAAGAGGTAGGTGGATTATAATAGTCTTTAACTTTTTTAAAATCTTAGGAAATGATCCGAAAAATTTATGTTGGCCTTATTTCGGTTATTCTTGCTAGGTCTAGTTGCTGTTATTTTATATCATGACGGTAGACGATGTTTGTTATCCGCGCTACGAACCCTATTGCAATCTCGTGATGGGTTAACCTGGACCTTGGAACTTGATGAAGAGATGTCTGAGCTTGTTATGCCATTCACTAAACAAATGATAGAAGAAGGTACCGTTATTAATTATGATTCGCAAAATGCAACTCACTGATGTGACTTTGGACTGCGTCCTTACTATTAAGCTACGGGGAACCAAGACGCACCTCCTTTTGATGAGTCACGTTTTTAACTATATAGCTACGCCTTTAAAAGGTATTTGTACTAGAAAACTTCACCTCATGTAGACAAAATTTTCTCAAAATTTCAATGCACACTAAATTGATGTGACAGAAAAAAAAGGAATTTGCATGATAACTCGTGAACTCGGATACCTATCCGCCATATTTGTAGTAATTTCACAAGAAGTCGAAAATTCTAATAGTAATCATGTGAATTACTGTAATAATTAAGGTTGATTCATCTTCTTGTGAACTTTAGATAATTACGGTAGCATACCTGTATTTCTTCTATATTTTTGTAGGACTAGTTACAAAGCTGCTCAACTTACTCAAAGAACTCACTTTGCAAAACGAGTTGAAAAAACTACAAGACGGTCAGGCGATCGGGAACGAAAAACACCAAAGACAGCTAGTTAACCTTATAACTGAACAACGCTTGCTCTTGGCCGAATCTTTGTTCTGTCTTGCTTGTCAAACGCCACTTTCGAAGGCTGAGACGTTGAAGGTTTTTTCCTATTTGAAAGGAGTTACTCCGAATGAAGAGACTGGAGATATTGATCAAGCTGATCTGTTCGTGTTTTTTGCTCTCTTGTATTCCCTGAATGTCAATAGCCTGGAAACACAGTCAGAATTACCAAACAATAATGGTAAGTCGTATTATCTTACTATTTATGGTATTAATAACCATAGTTTATTTCTATTCATTCATTCTACGTCTGTTGAATAACAACAATAAAACGTTGGTCGAATTTATCATGTAAAAAATTAATAAGGCAATACGTCTCAACATTTCACATTGTCAAGTTAAGGCACTTGACGCTGACTCGTCCACTTCTAACATAAGGCAATCCTTGTTCTCGTTGTTACTTTTGATCCGTTTAACTATTAATATTGTTTTCAAAAGTAAAGTAAAAAGCAAATTCCGAAAAGACAGGACATCTTGAGAATCAATATTTCAATCAATCAAGACACAAGTTGAAACTGTAAATTTCGACTTTATTTCAAAGCCTTCTTCAGATAGAATCATTCTGCCAATGTTTGAATCAAACAAGACACATGTTGAAACTAGATAAAGCCATCTTCAAACCGAATCATCCACATCTCCAATAGTGTCAAATATCTTGGTTAGAAAAATATCGATAATGTAAACCAGGCTCATGGAGGACACTGATATATAATTTTATTTTCCTAGTGGAAAATACCCTTCCAATTTTGAAAGATCCAGAGTTCATCCCACATTTTCATCAAGACGCCTCACAACCTGAAGGATGGGCGTGGCCTCAGCTTGGTGCCGCAGTCCAGTTTGTTTGGGGCCTCACTTTACGAATGTGCAGTCAGTATGCTGCTGATCTTGTGGCTGAAGTTGAATTCCTTGTAGAAGACGACGCTATTGTTACCATGGCAATATTGAATGACGTGTTTGAATTTCTTAGGAAAACAGTGGTCGGTTCTCGCAACTTTTATGAGGAGGTTTGTTTGGCTGTTTTATTTGTGTATTTTTCTGTCTCTGTGTTCACTACTGTGCCTTTAAATTAAAATCAAAGAATTAAATTAAGAATTCAAATTGTGTGAATAAAAATGATCACAAATGTGGAATGTCATGTATAAATAATTCAAAGAAACAAGGTTTTGGAGGTCTACAAACGTATACTGTAAAAATATATATTCACTTTCATGCATGGCAAATCAAGGTATTTTTCGCCAACCTCACGCAATACTCATAGTCAACTGTCAATTGTTAAGCTTACCAGACGTTTTATAGTTATTTTCTGTTGGGAATGCATATATAAATCTAATTAGAATATATTTTACTACGGAATTTGATTCGCTGAGCTACCCACTGTATAGTATATCAGCTCGTATACAGTGAGTTGTGAAAACGGCCAATGAGACGAGAATTTAGTAAAAGTTCACACATTTTATTCAGACTGTATTATTCTGGCTATATTATAAATTATGGTATAATTGTTAATAACTATACATTCATACAACTTCGCATCAAGTGTGGTATAACAGCTGCCTAAAATAGACAAAAATACTTCTCGACGTTTCGACCAATGGACCTTCGTCAAGAGAGTTAGTGTGTTGGTATGATACAAACTCTCCTGACAAAGTCCCTAAGGTATAAAATTGGAGAATTTCTGGAATTGGAATAATCTGAGCGTGGGAGAATGACATCAATGCAATTGTTTATCACGATGTAATCATAATATATTCCTATATTATTTTTATATTATTTACCAGGAGTACTTTGTTCGTCGTCTTCATCTGTTGATAACAAACTTTATTGTCAACATGCCGTGAAGTAAGTTTGTCCTCCGTGTGTTGCACCACGTCAGACGTGCGTTATTCAAACCGTACAGTTTTACATAACCTGAACTTAGTTGCCGCCATGCAGTATTTAAGATATAGTTTGCCCGGGGTGCTTGTATGTACAGGAGCTACTGTGCGTATATAAAAAGGCGACAGCTTGCAGTAGTATTCTTGAAACCAGAAAGTTTTTATATATATTATAAAGCGCCCTGCTTGACACCATTTATTCTTTAGCTTACATACAGCCACTTAGGTAGCATCCTCGCTCCAAGGAAATGGGGACCACGAGAATGAAGAACTTAAACTGAGCCCCGTGGATTAAGCATGCAACAAGATTCACTCGTTAAACATTGTTTGCCCAGATGGTCATATTTTTGGAAAATGTAATTTTCAGGTGAAAGAATTGCGCACACTGGGTGATGAGGCTGCTCGGATTTTACAGGCGTGTGCCCAAGAGGGTCTAGCACCTCCAGTCGATCAGCGTCATGATTTTGAAACCTTCATTAGATTGGTAAGTGCTTGAAACTTGCCGCTTTCGATGTCAAAAAGTATCCTCATGCACTGTCGCTCACTTCAGTAAAAATTACTACGAAAACTGCACCCACATTGTTATGGTTTGTGGGCAAGAAATTTTTTCGGCGACAAGCCTACATTCAGCTACCCACAGCTACAGTTATCAATCTATTTCCTCAAATTTGAAAAATATAATCAGCTACCACAGCTACAGTTGTGAATCTATTTCCTCCAATTCGGAAAACATTTGATATTGATATGTTGTGTTGTACCACTGCACCGTTAGGAACCAATCAGGTGCAGTATAAAATATATTATTCATATTATGAATATTATTCAGATTGGTGATTTGTATAAAAAGGACCCACTTGGCTTAGAACTTGCCGAGGATTATTGGATATCATTGGATAGTGAGGGATATTCTTCAACGTTTGCTGCGGGACACAATCAAAAAGCTATTCCAAAGCAGGTTGGTTACTGGATCCATTTTAATATAATTATACAAATCGACATCCCCGTTTTTTTTATTCTGTTAACAAATTTAGCAAATATACGAAAGGCAACAGTCGTGGATCATTTGAAAGAATAATACACTCTACGAAATTTCGTTTTGAGTCATTTTATATTTTACAGTCGTCTTGCCATTTTAAGGTGTTCAAAATTGCGTCCGCGCGAATGTACGATGGTATAGTTTCCACCAACACATCTATCTCAGAAACGTACAATCTCGTGTCAGCTGAGCTCTGATGTCATGATGAAAAAATAGCCTGCTTTCCATATGAACTCTTTATATTTGAGATCCATGCATGGCTGTAGAAAGTAGGGAGCCATGCTTGCTTGCTACCGCTACGCTACCTGCAAAGTCTAAAGAGTAAACTACAAATCTAAAATGTACATTCGAGTAGTTCAAACTGAGTTAAGATGTATAAATTAAATGCTGCTCTTAATTGAAGTTGGCTACCGCGATAAAAGAGAATCTACCGGGTGGTGCAAAAAAATTGCCATCGACGTAAATTAAACTTCTCTTGCATTATTAGTCCTCGCATATTCCAAACAAATCCAAACTCGTTGCTGTATCGTTAAACGAGGCATGTTTATAACAAAGCGGGCAAGCTCCTTTGCTTTCGTTCCCTTGTGCATTGCAACTCCTTATAGGGACCCAATTTGTTCGAACGATGAACAGTATTATTTTAACATCTAATACACTTAAAAGATACTTCGAATACCTTCTTTAAACATGCAAAGACAACATGCATGAAAAAAAACGCTTTAAAAAACGCCTATCGTGGAAGTTGAAAATAAGTTGAGTCGCGATATTTAGTCATGTTATTCGCTTCGTCAAAAACTGCACCTTTATTTTAAACGGCTCGATCTCGACCAATACTGTACAGAAATGTTCAAGACATGTATCAAAATTTAAGTTAGACATTACTGCATTCAACAAACTTTATTTGAATAAGATATCTGTATTAGTTTTTCAATTACGATAAGTCTAAGAGGGGGAACATTTTTTTGCGCCACCCGGTATACCGGCGTAAAACTTTTCGTAATTTGACACATGCAGAGCGTAGAAAAACTATAGTTATACAAACTTAGTTACAATACATGTGACCTCGCCCAGCTTTTTTGATTAGTTTTTTATCTCTGTAGATACTCTTGTGTAATTTCATCCGTGTTGCTGGCGATCTTCTTCCAGCTTCTCTATTTGTACCATATCTTGACATGCTGAACGGCCTGGCGAGCAGTAAGCACTCGGCGCACCATTGTTTCAACTTACTCAAGACAAATGGTCAAAATGCAACCGGGACTGCCAATGCTGTATCGTGGGATCATTTCTTTGACTCACTGAAACGGTATTACGTTGATCTTAGGCACGATAATGTCGGTAAGTCCAAACAAGATGAAGTTTGGTAGAACTACCAAGGGAGCAATAGTCTCTTTTTTCTTCACTATTTGAAAGTTTTTCTTCACTATTTGAAGGTAAACTTATGTTGTCTTCATCCCTTATAATGCGCGAAGAACAAAATTTCTATATACCGGAAATCGTTCATACGGGAACATAATTATTATAGCATAATTCATATTAATGGATATTATTTTGCCATGATTTTAGATAACAAGTTTGCAACATTAGGCAATGATTTGTTTCGAGATATGCGCAATAAAGTGCGGAATGCAAAACTGCAGAATTACCTTCAGGCGGAAGCAAAAAATAATGAAGACAGATATCATGAATTACTTTGTAAAATGTGTAAACATTAAGATTGGGATAAGGTCTCCCTAAGGTTTCAGGTGTGTTGTCATTAAAATTATCGTACAAAACGATGCACCGCTTTATAGACCAGCGTTTATGCAGGGCCTATTTCAAATACATTACAAGCGGGATAAATATTGACATAGAAAAGGGTTTTTAGGTGCGGTGTCTTAAAATTATTGCAAAAGTAGATATACATACAAGATCTCTCACTCCATTATCTTACATTGTCAAAAAAAAAAAAAAAGTGATTTACCCCATGATTTACTTTTGATCACTATTGGATTACTATACTCAAGGTGACTATTGATTTTCCTGCATTCTGATTGGTCATGATTCACTGTCTCGGAAGTGATAGTCATTGGTCGGTGATAGCTTTTTGTTGTTGCTTTTCAAATAAAAAATTGGAAGTAATTATAAAGTTTTATGAAATTGCGTTGATTATTATTTGTAAACCCCTTCGGCTCAGTGAACATAGGCTTGTAATCACCTCCGGCGACTAATTGTTAATTATATCTCTACCTATGCAGTGAATAGTGTAAATTGTAGTTTTGTTTTATGTGTAGGAATGCAGTCCGGAAATTACCAAGCCCAGTTTTCACCAATGAATATCACTGCTGAAGAAGAAGTCGGTCTCGAAGCTGTGCTACGACTGACAGCAACTGTGACACAAATGGTATGAATACTTATATAACTGCTCTGAGATGAAACAATTGAACGTTCCTAAGATCGAATGAAGGTCCTCTTTAGAGAGGCCTCGTTTTCCTGAACCTTTACTCACTGGAACAACGTGTACTAAACGTAGAAGGAATCTAGGTGTACCATCTTCCAACACAAACCCTTAATTATTATAAAGTTATTTTGCTGTATGGTTAATTATTTAGGATGAAGTCGCAAGAATTGCCATTTGTGAAAGCCCAGCATGGTTACCGCTGACATCATTGTTTGGTTTGCTTGGTTGTTCGATTCCTACGTCACTAAAGGGTTGCATACTTGAGACACTCTCTGCATTCGCAAAGTCTCCTGAAACTACGGCATCCATGTGGCAATCTTTAGAGACATCACAGGTACAGGACGGCCGCTTGCGACCTATTAGTCACCACCTCCTCCGCACGCGCATCGGAAGTATTTCGGGCAGGTTTTCTTCCTAAATTTACTCCTGCGAAATATAACCACCTGCAGGTTTGCCAAGGAAAAGGGCCTATACGGAGGAGGTGGTATCAGTCACCTTATTACTGTTACTACTCGACCTGGTTTTACTTTATTGGATAAGGTATTTAGTATTTTTAATCACCCGGGTGGGTTTTGAATATCGCTAGATTTTGAATGGTAACAATCTTTTATCTTTGTATCTTTTATTTTCAAATAGTTGTATTTTTGTACTTTTGGCGTTTTTCATCAACATAATTTATGTGTGTATAATTAAAAAAATGTGCTTAGTTTAGGCTTCTACTACTTTATATAGATACTACAAACTGTTAAGCCCGTTGGACACGCTTTGCAAGAAGGAGGGCTTTTGGTAACGTTCTTTTTTATTAGTATATAACTATTGTATATAAAAGTTCTGTTATACAGTATACTTTCGTATGACGTCTGACACCAATGACTTGTTTCTGTTGGTCATTTGTGTATTTGCTTTGTGTACGACTTGAAAATCATGTACCATCATTGTACCAGTGAGTTATTCAGCTGGGTAAACCCATATTCTTATGAGTGTACCGTCTCACCTAGTGTTCATTTTTTCATGTGAAATTAATGCTCTTAACGTCCTTATACATATATGTATATGAAAAATGTGTAACTAGGAGTAGTACTTAAGCTCTTCGAGCAGTATAAGATAGTTCGGCCGATTTCCATTGAAATAACTGCATTCTCTGTTATAGGCTGAACTTGAGGAGATTGAATCACGTGGGGAGGCCTATCCCGAAACACGCGCATTTATAAAACTATTGGGCAACCTTACCCAGTATCCAGTACCTGCAAACCTGGGCGCTGGATACAGAGTGCCTGGGTTTACACCGTATCTTGAGTTCTTGCGCGATTCAGTTCTGCTGAAGTTCAAAGCAAGGGCTTACGTAGACCCCAATGAGAAGGTAATACGTTGTTGAAGCTGTTTTCATATATCATAATCAATGCTATTGTGAACGCCAGACAGCGTGGGCGAGCAAAATTGTTGGCACGTTCACACGAGCAAATAAAACTTCAAACTTGCTTTTCAAAAACCATTTCCGCTTTGTACATCCGCGGGAACAATTTTGCCTATAATAGAAAAACGAGCTTTACTGTGCCTCAGGAAACGTAGCTAAATATGAAGGGTAGCAAGGTGGCAGCGTGCGGGCTTGTGTTTTCTTGAGTATCCGTGCGCTTTAAACAAATCAGCAGTTCAGCTTGACAAGTACAAAATGGCAATTTAAACAACTTTCTGGGAAAATACCTTCAATTCTTGGCTACTGTACAAAGCAGTTTAGATGTTTACATTTGCCAATATACTCGAATGAGTTGAACGGAGGTTTCCAAATACCTAATTTAGCAAAATGCTTGACAGTTTCTGCATGCCCAGAAATTTCGATGCAAACACACCACATACAAATTTAAAAATATAACCTTAAGCAACCGATTAACACGATAGCTGCGTATAATACGTTATTTTGATATAATACGTTATTTATAAAACGTTATTTGTAATACGTTATTTAGTGGCAAGTAGCAAGTGGGGTTTTGCAGATATTTGTCCAACTGCTTGAACAGCATGAACCCAGCTCCGATAATATGTCTGAAGATTATGTAGAGATCAGTGGAAGGGAACGAGTCACGGTCGCCAAGTCTCCTGGGTATACTCTGATGGTACATATGCTGAATGAAACAGCAATGCTGAAAATGGTAAGTTTATATCCACGTCCTTTTTTTACTTGTGTCTTGCATGCGATTTTGGTTATTGATCTAAATTGCTCGTTTCACTTTATCGAATTTGTATGAGAAGCCTCTTCCGACGCATGCGAGTGACTGAATATTTTGAGTATTATGTTACCCAGGGGCCGCGGTGGTATAGCGTTATGCACAGGCTAGTCATTTTTAAGCCCGTTCAAAAATGCTTGAAAAGTAATGAAATTGTAGACAAAGTAATAAGTAGTAATAAAAGAAACCTAAAGAATGAGAACACTTAATGAATTAAAAGGTTGAGTTCAAATTGTACCATAACAGGAGCAATTTTAGAGCGATTGAAAGACCCACCTAGGCTACTATGTTTGAACACGACGCACCCAAACGAAGTTGAGCGCGGCGCTTAATAACGGGCACTACCTCAAACGTAGTAATAACACGCGTGGTAATTGATAAGTGCCGTATAACTTTCTCGAAATACGATTTGCCTATCTGTTATTTGTTAAATGCTTCCCCTTAGATCACACGTATTTTACATCATTTTGCGCCAAATAGCTTCATTCACCTTTTCCCAATTTACTGTCTACAGTTAATACTGCATGTGTGCAAGAGGAATATATGTTGAGATCATTCATTAATATCCTCATTTCGTAGATTCTGTCGATAATCAATGAAGCTTCCGAGCTGCTTGACAAAGTTACTGCATTTCAAGGTATGTTATGCCCTTATTATATATCAACGGCGTTTAAATACTATTCTTTTTCGCTTTGATCGTCGTTTAAATAAGCAAGTAGTATATTACTATAGTAGGAATAATAGGAACAGCAAATGTGTTCCTATCTCACGTATAGTCTTTCTTAAGATAGGATCAGCAAATGCATGCGTATGAAATATAGTATACAAATAAACTTCCCGGCGTTGCTATGTATAAGAGGCCTCGTCGGGAGAGCTTGAATGGTGGATAACTTCAAAATTGAATAGATAATTTGGTTTTCCATTCTTAACTTATCCACCGTTTAAGCTAAACGCCTTTCGAACAACCGGTCCCAGGGGTTTAAAGTCAACTGAAATTTCGCTGCATGCGAATTAGTTTAAATAAAGTTAAAGTAGTGGGTTTCTTATGACCAGTTTTTTCCAGATACCATGGGTATTTTTCTATTTTTCTTAGGCAATAATGATGACATTGAAATGAGCGCCTTACTTTCTCTCAAGATGGTCGAAATAACGATGGAAAAGCAGCGAGAGTTTACGCGTTGTTTACGACAACAAAACTCGTCGGTGTTGGTGTCCTCGTTGGATCAATTGCTGCTTGGCGTGAGTGTGCGTTCTCAAGGCTTTGATAGTATCACTCATATTTCCAGGTATAAAACGAATAACATCGTCTTGCTTCAATGTTGCGTAACCACTGATTCCCACCGTAATGCAGTTCATAGACTACTTTCCGTAAATAAAACAGACAAATCATGAATTACCTAATTAATAATGCTGGAAGTCGTTCTAAATATAAAAATTAGGAATATATGTTATATATGGTGTCTCTTGAATGGTGAGTTTCATTATTGCATGTATCGAGAAACAAAAAGGAATCGCTTCAACCATTTTGCAATGCGAGCATTATAGCACGGGTTTTGTTAAGCTATGTTGAGTAAACTCCTGACGTTTTAACGGATAATTGACGTGACTGGGATTGAAGAATCGTTTGCCGAAATGTAAAAACAATCCACTGCATTTGCCTTGACCCGACCGGTGGCTCCTTTTCTATTGGGTTATTGATTTATTTGCCTTTGTCATTTAGGTACATAACCCACACTCATACCTCGCCAGAACTTACTCTAGTCGCTGTCAAGATTCTCTTTTTGGTTTGTCAAACCCCGACTGTTCAACCAGAAATCTACAACAGACTTACAACTGATAAGGTATACATTGGTCTTAATTCACGAAACGAAGACTTAAGAACTATAAACTCTGCAATCACCCAGAGAGTTACATGCACTCTTTTAAAATGTGTTTTTTTTTCAGGAACGAGCGCAGGAGCTACTGGTGGGTTTTGTTGATCACCTCGATACCGCTGAACACGAGGAGACTAGTGGAGATGGATCGTATGAAGACAAAGGTAACATAAAGAAAGTTTTACGCTGTCAAATTGCAGTTTGAATTGTTGATATACAATAGGTCGTAAATCCTAAGGGATAAAATTATAAATATAAAAGCAAATATAAGGTCTAGGTGTTAGTAACTGTTTTAACTTCTCAAACTGTGAAACTTTGACAAAGTAGACCGCACTTAGTTCTCTAAAACGCAGTTTTTTAATGTGCATGTCAATCCGTAACGAAGACCTTGTTTGTAGGTTTCGTTCGAAAAAAACCGTGGTGTCGTTATAAAGAGAGGCACCTTTTTTAAGATCTTCTATGCACTTTCATGCTTTCATTTATTACATACTAGAAATACATGCATGCAGCAACCTCTCGCCATTTCAAACGAAGCAAAATATATCCTAAGCCTGCCAGACCTAACCTTCAATATTATGAAATGACCTAAATTTAAAGCCGATAGCTGATGTTTCAAATTTTTCGGAAACAAACACAGTCGTAAAGGTGAAGTGAAATTACCCGTCTTCCCGCTGCATTAGGTTGCATGAAGTTATAGACTGTCACAGTTTAAGTGAGAGTTAATAACTTCACTATAGCTAAACCATATATAGGTAGCCCAGAAATCTGTTTGTACTCAGCCTTCGACTACATTGTTTACGCACGCGATCAGCTTCTACTGTCTGTACTATAATTACTGTATTATATATTGATATATCAACATATATTTCTGGGCTACCTATGGTCGCACTGGTAATTGTTTAAACCCTAGTTTAATGCTTACCCTCATGTAAAACAAGTACATTCCAATCGTCGATTTTTAATCGTATCGTTCCTACCTGGAACTGTGTCTGTCAGACCTACGTAGCCTGGCAATGTTCAGATCGTTTTTCTCAAGAACGTATTTACATTCATTAGTAGGGACCTTAACCATGTAGGACGGGAACACGACAGCAGCTATCAATACAATGCTTCATTGAAAAGAAATGAATCATTAAATACCTATGGGAGTTTTAGACGTGATCTAGGTTCTATTTACAACGGCAAAACGTCGTTTAATTATTACGTCCTATGTAGAACGTCTGCATTTCAGGACCCAGTGAGCGCTACCTCGAGTTAGGCTCTATAGAATTGTCCCTAAACGTAAATACAATGTTTTCAACGTCTAATATCTCATTAACGCTTTATCATAACATTTATTTAAAGGAGTATTCCAGCCACGTCGTCGTCGTGTTGCCGTCCTACATGCTTATAAGGTCCCTGTGTCTTATTACGACGTCGACATGCCCTGTACATGGTCATTGCATAGAACTTGTTCATGTCATAGAGCTTAATTAACATGCGAAAAGAACATATGCTATTACCTGATTCTAAATTATTTAGGTGTTTCTTAAATTATCTTAGGCAACTATCCTTCGATGCGTGTAGCTATATTATTTATGTTTCTTCTGTGTGTAATTTGTTTTTGTATATGGAATCGGAGGAATGCCTTGCATGGGACCTCGTGTCCCGTTTGCATTTTCTCGGTTTGAAAATTGTTCAATAAATTTGAACGCGTTGTTACTACGTCTCGAGGTAGTGCCCGTTATTAAGCGCCGCGCTCAACTTCGTTTCGGTGCGTCGTGTTCAAGCATGGTACAGTAGGTGGGTCTTTCAATAAATCTATATATAATACAGTAATTATATAGTTCAGACAGTAAAAGCTGATCGCGCGCGTAAGCAATGTAGTCGAAGGCTGAGTACAAACAGATTTCTGGGCTATACTTATGGCTAAACCTTCAAAACCAAGCAGTAAACGTCGAATGTTGTTTTTCGATTATTGAACTCGTGCAGCGATTGCAGTCGACTCTATAAAAGCTTGTGATATTTGTTATATTAAAACTCCGAATTACACTTTTAAGAACTCTTTTTGAAGTTAAAACGATGATGGAAGGCCTTAAATTTTGCGCTCAAACGCTCAAATTTTGCGCGTGCGCACAAGTACCATGACCATTGAACGTCCACGTTCCATGACATAGAATTTGGGCAACTTTTGATTCCACTATGTTATGTCACAATACCCGGGTGTAATTAATCTCCCAGCGGAATTAGTACCTTCGCAGGGCGCTCCGCGTCCGCTCGGGGATTATATATACATTGTTCTTCTTGTCTCGCCCTGTCACATTAAGTCGCCTGTGGAATCCATGTTTTTGCGCATAGCAATTAGGACTGGAGACCAGAATCTTGTCGGATTTCGTCGTAATTTTTCGATTTTCATTAAAATATGAATCTTTTTTTTCATTTCATATTTCATATAGAAGTAACTGACTTCGTAACCAATAAAATTGGTTAAATTGCATTTTGTCTGTTGAATGTTGTCTGTAAAACAAAAAAAAATTATAATTACGATCTCGGTTTTTTATATGTTTGCTTTCACATAACAACAAATTACTGTGCTTAGGTAGGGTTTGCCACGGTAGGGTTTGCTGAAACAGCCGTAGATTTCAAATTTCGCTAGGCTAGAGGTTTGCCATAGTGTGGGCCTGATAATAAATATTGCCGTGGATTTGTTCAACTGCTTGAAAACATTATGACATTTGATGAGACCTATTTTTACAAACGGTTTTAGGATTTGATGCAGGGTACGCAAGCAACAGCCAAATCCGAGCAGCCATTCGCCAGAATATTGTTCGATTTTTGCTGTATTGTTTGAAGTTACGCTCCCCGAATCTCTCACATTATTTACTTGGATTTCACGGACGAAAACCGATACAGGAATTGACATTACAAGATCCTGGTAAGTGTCTGGTATATTACTCTTTTTTAAAAAACGAGTAATGCTTGAACAGTCGATGCAATGAGCGACTCATTTTTGCTACGGCCGAACGCCTGAAACATTCGACAAGAACATTATGGTGTCTTATCGGTATTCGAACTTGGTGATCTAGAAAACGTTTTTGTTTAATCTATCAGCATGTTTCATCTTGCTTACACTAGCGCCACTTGCTCAAGAATCCTGTAATTTTCGCTCCCTAATTTAAGGAATCAACTATTTCCAGTCTTACACACGATCCCAAACGTAATGTTAATTGTGTAATACATTACCGTGATGTTATTATTACTAATATGGTTATTTCGCAGGTATTCTTGGTACACCGCGTACATGCCTGCATTCCATACTCGACATCCTTAACCAAGGCCTGGACACCCCCCGTGGTCCTGGTGTCATCCATGACGCCCCCCGTCTCGCCGAGTTGTGCTTCCAACTCATCTACGCCTTGTGTCAAAATAAAGAAACTAGTGAGGCCTCGATACGATATTTACGTACTAGCCATAACTTTTTTTACTCCCATCTCGTCCATTTACCTCCAAAGGAACTCATACACCCCGCCGAAGATAATGAACGTGGTAATACATCTTATAAGCTCAACCAACAGTCTTGGCTTCTCAAAAGTATCGCCACTGAACTGCGACTGACAGCGCATACGCGCCAGCGATCACACGTACAGCGTTTGCTCTCGTCCTTACTGATGGAGCCTTCGATATCGTATGCACAGCGTTCCGAACTCGTGATAGACCCACTAGAAGACACAGAGCTGTCGCGAAGCACTATGGGTAGCAGTGGAAGCCGGAAACTTACAAGAATTCTTGACTCGATTAATTTCAATCACGAGCTTCCATCCTCCCTACAAAGCGTTCTAAATTATTTTGAACCAACAGCCACCGAAGCCGTGATTACTTCATGCAGTGAAAACAATAGTGATTTACCATTCGTTTATACGAATTTACGTAAGCTACATAGGCTCCTCATGACCGAACTAGAGGCGGTGCAAGTACCGGCCACAGAGGTGCAGAGGCATCTTTTGGTTCAGGTGAGATGATTAAGAAAGGGTTAAGATTAAGTTTGGTACTGTATTTTCTTGCATGTAATTTGATAGAGTAAGTCAAGGGGATCCCCAGCATGTCATTCTGAGAATGATTTTGAAATTTGGAATGGCACCAGAATCCCAAACGTCATACTAGGGGGACAACCATGTCTAATTTTTGCCTAGAGTCACACAGCTAATAGCCCGTTTCATAATACAATGTGGTGGTAAAAGATTAACAATCTCCTTTTTAAAACATCTTAGGAAGTGAAGAGAATTATGAATTATTCTCTGGAGCGAAATCGTTTTCGAGAAGAGCTTTATTCCAAGCAACACGCGTTTGAGTCGTGGCGACAGTTAGTTGAGGTGATTTTAGCAAGTCGCCCTCCGGAGTTGTTGAATCGTGAAATTAAACAGACGATTATTTTTGATCTCATGCGATATCTGTTAAACAAGGTGAGCAGTTTGTTATTCCTCTGTGGTCGGTTTCTGTAGCACTCTAACTACGTCGGCTAGTTTGTATTAAAGCTGGTTGACGCTATCCACTGGATAGTGATTTTTCCAACGGTTGTAAACATGCTTGAAAAGCAATGAAATTACAGATTTGGAGCTAACAAGTATTTAGTTCTTAAAAACAATCCCTTATTTAAGAATACCAAAATTTAATCAAGCTTATACCAAACAACGCGTACGGGCAATTTTAGAGCGTTGGAGAAACCACCATCTGATGAATAGTGCTATATTCAGCGCATAAGCGACTGTAACCCACCTCTAAATTACGGCTACTGCCAATGTGTTTTTACTGCAACCCTCCTCTAAATTACGGCTACTGCCAATGTGTTTTTGCCTCAGGATTGTTTTACCTGATAATGTTGGTTGCTTTCAGATGTCCGATGAAAATTCAGCACCTGAATTAATCGCCCCAGTCTCTGGGGTTGTGCTAACATTGATGGCTCATTTACGCCAGTCTACCTTGCCTTCTGGAGAGGATCTGCCGTCACGTGGCACTGTTGCGTCAGCATGGCGTGACGATGGTAACTTTTATAGTTTTATTCAACTAACTTTTAAAAGAAAACTAACTTTTATTCAACCATGAATTTAACATTCTAATTAGAATTATAGGGTCCGTTTTTACCATCCAAAATGCAAAATGACGTAACAAGCTTTGACGCTTCCAAGGAGTTCTGCTCTTAGTAGTCACTGCAATAAATTGTGAAGTTTAAATTTCCTGATGTGACAACAAAAACCAGAATTCCCTGCAGGTGTCACCGCTTTTTACGTCATTATGCATCAGGTCCATCCCTGGGAGTTAACCTGATTGTATTTTGCTATGTTCTAGATCAAACAGAGGAACTGGATCTTCCGACCGAACCTTTACATGCGATATTTCAGAGTCTCATTCAAGCTTTGTTGAAAACAAGCGGGAATTACCAACGTGTTAGAGCTAACCTATACGGGAGCCTGCTGTACTATCTGCAAATTGGTCAGCGTAAGAAGGACCGGCGTGAAAGTCTTGGTGAGTGGGACGTGTGATTTCCATAACAGTTAAAGTTAAACGTTGTTTTGTTATTTATGAGATGTTGTAAATTTATAACTAAGATGTTGCCATATAAGAAAACAACCCGGTTGACTCGAGTTCTCGGACTTGCAATTGTCTTCAATCTTATTATTTTGTTAAGTCCTTCACAGAGTAAAAGACTATAGCAATGGACCTTTTGCATAATAGACCAACTTACGATCTAGGTAACAAGACGGAAATAAATCACCACGGCTAAAAAGAGCATACCGAAAAATTATAATAATTGCCAAATTTGGCCGCAAAATGTCAAGTATTACGGAAAATATAGCCATGCAAAGGAGCTAATTTTGTATACTGTTTTACTACGGCCGGAAGCGTTTAACTAATTTAGTTTCACACTTCCGGCCGTAGTAAAAAAGTATATAAAATTGCCAACCGCACATGGCTATATTTTCCGCACTTTTTGCAGCCAAACTAATTTTACCAAATTTAGTATGTACTTTTCGGACATTTCCTTTTTGTTGCCTAAATCAAAAGTTGCTCTATTATGCAAAAGGTCCATTTACTATATCAGCCCTCGTGAGAAAGCCTAATACTCGCGTATTTTCGACTATCAGACTTTTACGCTAAACAGATAAACGCTATAGTCTAGTTTATACATAGCTATGTCAACGTCGCTGCATTGTGTTGGGTACAAAAATTATCTTATAGATAATTTATGCTTCACGTGTTGCAGATACGGCACTTCAAAGGAAGAACTATGAAATTATCTCAAGTTTTGGCGAATCCTTCATGGAGATAGTTTGCCGTGACTCTTGTGATGGTCATGACGTTTCTAGGGTGAGTTGTACCATTGAATCTCTACACAAATACTTTACAAATGCTCATGCTGTGCTGAAGATGATCAAACTCTATCGATAACAAATCGAGAAGTTTAGGTGCGATGATTTATTGAGCATGGAAAATATCATGTATAGCCACAGCTGGTAGGTTTGATTTTGAGCTATAAAAATTGAACGCTGACCTACAACTCCTGGAGATTTTTAAAGAAATCAGAAATATGATACTCTTAGAGTTGTGAAGAAACAAATTACGGTGGATAGTGTACTGAAATGCCGTATCTTTTTTCAGGCTAATTTTACACTTTACGATTTTTAACAACAATTCGCATTTCAAATTAAACTCTACGAATTTTTATTTAACTTAGGAGGCTATTGCGCTAAAAATCTTTATTTAAAATCTTCCATGGTAGTTTTCAAGCGCGTTTTTACGTTGTTGGCTTCCAAGTTGTTGGCGCAATCGCGATAACATCATTGGGCAGAGTTATTTCAATATTACTGATACAGATATAACATTACAAGGTTCGCAAGACAAGATGGTACTTATATAGTTTATCATATTTAGATGCTAGCGTGTGCTGTACTCGACTCGATCGTAGCAATCGACTGGCGCCATCGCTGGTTGCAGTTTCTAAATACAAAGGGCTATCTACGGCATCATATTGAAAGTCTACTCCAGGAGGATGAGAACTTACAAAATGCGTTGCGGCCTAGTCCTGAACCTCTAAAATCCCTCTATGTCTACGAATCAAGAATGGTAAGAATTCAACCATCTATGCATCTCAAACTTTAAACAATTTTGTTGTCAAAGTATTTCCCAAGTTGTGATTTATCACATGCATTGTTGATTACCCAGATGATTTAAAAACCATGCCAGGTAATTTTAGGACGCTTTGAATGTTAACAAAGAGAACCCCTCTTATTTATTATGGATACATCTTACAAAGCATTATTGTCACACAGATGTGACAGCCATAGGCTTCAGTCATCGTGAGCGTTTGAAGCAACGAATACATGTTGGCGTTAGTGTGCCCCTTGCCTGACAAATGAAATAAACCAATCCGGTAATCCTGGATTGTTAGTGTTCAATGTTGCAAATTGTATTCCCCGGGCTATTTTTGATGTTTGAGTTAAGTAAGTTGTCATAAAAAAGCAATGCGTGACTAAAAGCGAAGTCCATGCTGGAAAATGGTCTAGGACTAGGATGTCAATACCTTTTTTCCAAACAATGTTTTCATATCAGTTGTTATCACTTTATTATGAAAAAATAGCTTATGCATGAGCAGGTCAATGAATGTGCGTAGGGAAAGGAGCCCATATACCTGTCGGTTAAACTAAAGAAATATGACGCAACAAATTTTTTATGTTTGGTATAGTAGGAGCCATCATCTGGCATTGCATATAATTTTTTTGCAGGCTCTATTGACAAGACTTTCCCAGACACCAGAGGGTGCTAATGTGTTGCTGAACGCAGGAGTGATGTCTCGTCTTTCTGAATGTCGCTTTATTGATCTTCGTCCTAATGGGTCTGCGGGCAACTTCAACACGCACCGTCACTCCAGTTACTCATCTGATCACATGCCTACGATGACGTCTTCGGGTGATACATTTATTCCCTCGATTATGGAACGATATCAGCAGTTATTGATCCCCGCTCTGCGCATGTCTCTATCGCTTCTAACGTCACTTGGTCAAGAACATCATGAAGCTTCAATGCAGGTAAACTTGGTTCCGAGATTAGCTGATATGGCTTTAATCAGAACAATTTTCGCTCTCTCGAAATCGGCTTTTATTTTTATGAGTTGTCTCAAAAACGTCATTTTATCGTATCGATGGCGTCTCAAATTCGCATTAAATATATTTCAATTTCCGTCTTCATTTGAATGTTATTCAGGGGTTTAATCAGAGCTGACCTTTTTCTGTTTTAGATCTTACATTTCATCGTCGCTCATTCAGAAGTATTTTCAGACATCTTACAAGAGCAAACAGACAGAGTAACTGTGTCTTCGTTACATGAACTGTACCTGGTCAGTGGTATAATATGCAAGTCAGGTATCACTGAGGACTCTTTCTCGGACGAGGAGACTAGGTTGGACGATATAATGAAGTTCAAAGCACCACTATCCAGAATACAAAGGCTCATGTTGGCACTTCTTCCGAAGTATAGCGTGCGCGAGAATTGGGATAAAGTTAGTATTCGGCACTAGTGGGCCTTCCTAACTTTAATCGTTAAAAAAGAAATTAGTTTTATTCCAGTCCAACAAAAATTCCTGCATGGTTTTAAAAAATGCCTTGAGAAACGATCTGAGATTCCAAAACTAGCTATATATATGGAATTGAATCGTGTAAAACACTAGCCGCTATTTTTACTATGGTTTATTAGAATATCCCCGGAGCTTAATTGCAGTAAAAACCGCATTTCACCTGCCATTACCTTCAATTGTGCTTTCAAAACATTGATGTTGGTGTTCCATTCCTTCGTTACCTTTAGATTGTGCGAGATGTACTTGATGTTGGCATGGATGAAAGAGAGGCAGCGTTTAAAGCATTGCAGTATAATGTCGTTGCTCTTGAAACTTACCAAACATTGCAGCAGATATATGGCAACTTGATTACCTACTGTAAAAATGTTGTCGTTTCAGGAGGTATATTTAAGCATATTTTATCAGTGTCGATTTTGTGAGTGTTTATACGATAAAATAATGTCTTAAAGATAAATTTTCACAAGCCAGGGGGTTTCATATTTTTATGATCTTAACGGATTTTTTCGATGGATTGCTTTTTGTAGTTCCTGGTTCAAACCATTGTCGAGTTATCTTCGCTCCAAATTTGACCGACGTGTATGCCAGAGACAGTTTGTTCAATAGACCAGGTTCGTTTTATTACACAAAAAAACCGTGCTGTGTATTAAGTGGACTCAATTTACAACATTGTTACTGGAGCTACTGATTGTTTCTTTCGAAAGAATTTTCCTTTTGGGAATCTGATATGATAAAGCTTTATGTTACTTCTACCACTGTTGTATATACCAAAGATTGTTGATTTAACTTTCATTTGTGTTTCGTCTTCAAATAGAAGTGTTTTGTCTTCAAATAGAAGCATTTGCTATTACCTAATACTAAAAAAGCCATAGCATATACCTATAGTTATTATTTTTACTATTTTATTACGTGGTTTAGAAGTTTTTATATAGTTTGTCCTTCGTTCTGGTTTAGTTTCTGTTGGCCTTAATGCGACGAGCAGTCGACCAAGTCTTGCTATTATTGTCCGTAATCTCAAGGTATGCAGTGACAAGGTCTTGGACTGTGTCGAAGCGAGCAAACAAGCAAGCAACAGACTAAACAACATTGATGAACTCAATATGGACGAATTGAGAGAGGTGAGAATTGGGCCATATACATGGCATATATGAACTATAGTTTACACTATCCGTGCAGTACAAATCACAACAACTGTTCGCACGATACCCACAGAGTTTCGTACTGTTCTGGTTTCGAAGCTAAATCCAGATTAAATTTTTACCCGGACTGTTATTGTTTTTCCATTTCTGAACGGCTTTTTTGTTCAACACTTTAGGGAAATAAAATCTGTATTAAACCGTGGAAGATTTTTGAAACAACATGGCTGTTGCAAAATGTGATTTTTATACATGTAGTGGGGGTCAAAAGTATTGTCACATTGATATACTGACAGCACTGCATGACTGTGCATACAATTATGTTATAGGATTTAACACAAATTGGCGCTGTTCTGATATTTCGTATAACCTCTTTTACGTTTCAAAACAGCTTTGACCTTTTCTTGCATAGAGTGAACCAGTTTTGTTAGCACTCTAGTTCAATTCTATTCCAACACTTATTAAGGATAGTCCACTAGTTTTCCTTATACTTTCATTCCAACTTCCTTTCCAGCAGTAGCTCTTGGTCTCCCAGATCTTCATTTGATTAAATACTAACCTGATTCACGAAAAGTTTCGCAATTTTCCTTTGATACATGTAACATCATCATTTTTCGCTGAGACATATCTCTCCATTGTTGATTCCATTATCTGGCCCACTTTCCTTCGTTAAACTCTTTTGGCATCTTTGGTTTGATCCACAAAAAGAAAAATCCGCATTTCTTGTACCACTTAAATAACGTGAGATTTAACTAGAAAACATATGGGAGGCATTACTATATCATACAATGCGCAACTTCAGATCGACCTATCTAATTTCCAACTCACAAGATATCATTTATTGTAAATGAAGAAAAATTATCGACTGGACACAGACTGTTGACCCCCGCTGTATGCATTATCCCAGGGTTAGGCTTATAAGCTAGGAACAGGATTTCGAACAACTAATCACTATCACTAAGATTTGCCCTTCAAGATGGCCGAAAGGGTTTATTGCTCCGCTGGAGTTCGCTGGTTTGAATCAAATAGGGATATTTCTAGAGTCAAAGTAGGTATAGAGTAGTTACACAGAAATCGCACATTTGTAATTTGTGTTATTTTGTGCAATTTTTTTACTAGTTTGGACTACAATATTCATCCTTAACCGAGCGAATGTCAACGCAACAAAAACAACAACTGGCTTTCAAATGTCTTCGAGATGTTGTCAAATATCGCGATGATGAACTCGATATGTACTTATGTATCCTTTAAAATATTTCTCAAGCGTATTTGTTTGTCTGTTGTATAATTACATAAACATAAGTGAAATCCGTCTGAGCATGCGCGAGATGACACCAGTAAAAATTTTATAGATTACGATGTCTTGTTTTAATGTTCAACATATTATATTCCAGATTTTAATATGATTTAACTGTTCGTTTCGCTATACTCGCCAATTTTAGCAAAATTTCAAACATCATTTCAAACATGATTACCTAAGTTAATTACAATTACCTTATGATTACCAATGCAATATTTTTGTCTACTACTTTATACCTTAACGCATACAGATATTATCGAGAACTCATTATTCGTTTTATGTAAACACCTGGAGTATTACTATTTGTACTGTAATCCCTCTGATCGCGAGATGTCCACGTTGCACAGTTCATTGACAGGGAGGACCAAACCAAGGCGACTTCAAGGTTTTTGTCTATGTTATATTATAACTCAAATGTTCTGGGACTGATTATGAGAAAACCTCTGTGACAATCGCACTTCCTGTTTGCCTCTAGAATGTGTCACTCCATATATGTTCCTCTAGTAGTACTCACGTATGAACGGCTTAGAGAGATTGATTTCCCATAATAACTAATATAGTTAATAGAAGAAAAATATTGCTCACTGCTATATTCAAAAGCAAAACGTTTAAATTTATTAATATTTTGATGCTATGAACGAGCTGTCCGTGTATTCTTTGTCTAACCGATATTTTCAATTTATGTTGTTACAGATTATGGTTTGTATGATGACGAATTGTCAAGTGATCGTGGGCAGTTGCATAGTAAATTTCATACCGGAGTAACAATAGCTGACATTGAAAAGGTGAAAGATATAAAGTTGCAATCAGATATAAAATTGTAATCAGAATTCTCCGTCTTGCCTTATTATCACCGACATTGATTATCACCACATTGCCAGATTATCACCAACTCTATTTCAACGCTTTTAGTTTTTGTCTTCTAGTTTTGCACGTGTAGGCCTAATCCCAGGGTCTTTCATGTGAATTTCTTAAAAATATTCTTGGTACGAGATTAAGCGTATAACATCGTCATGCAGATTAAGTGTATAACATCGTCATGCAGATTAAGTGTATAACATCGTCATGCAGATTAAGCGTATAACATCGTCATGCAGATTAAGTGTATAACATCGTCATGCAGATTAAGCGTATAACATCGTCATGCAGATTAAGTGTATAACATCGTCATGCAGATTAAGTGTATAACATCGTCATGCAGATTAAGTGTATAACATCGTCATAGTAGAATAAGATGATTTTTTTCTAGAGCGTTTAATTCAAAATGAAAGAACATCCGAAGTTGCTATGACATGAGTTTCTTTTACGTTGAATTTTTGTTTAAAATATACTTTTTAAAAACAACATAATCCCATGCGGTAGAAGACCTCTGTGAATCACAGAATCTTAATTAACGTTCTTAACATGGCAATTGTTCTTATCGATATAGCTGAAAACTGAAGCATCCACTTGTTTGACCGACACCTTTCTAAGAAAACTTCGAGATATAGAAAAGGTATAGCACAGTCATGCTCGAATGAACTGCTGATAAAGTATTTTATCATATTTTGCAATTGATACTATATGATATACTAGCACCGGCTTGCAAGATCGCATTTCTAATCTCACTCCTTGAATTGAAGTCAAATTCCATTTGAACCATGGACGTTATTGTCCTATAAGTTGAACAACGTCAAACGGTAGACATGTTCAAAACTAACCCTGGGTTAAATTTAACCTGCTTTTGAACAACCGGCCCCTGAAAGTGATTGTGATGTTTTTGTATTTTTCAGGCACACAGCAAAGAGCATACCCGAGCGGGTTTTGTTGATGCCTTAACCAGAAAAATCAAAAGACTTCTCGTACTTCATGGACCTACGACTAGATAGATTCATTAGAAGTGTTTGTGTTGAAAATAAGACAACAAAATACATGTTAAATTTGAATTTCATGCATTTAGAATCAGTTGTTTCCTATTAGATTGGATGTAGTACTAACGATAGATGAGAAAATATGGTATTTTTAAGCGCAATAGAAGTAGAACTGATCATAGGAGATACTATATACAATAAATTATATTGTGCTTGCAGTTGCATAAAAATCGTAAATTTGGTTGCACAGTCAAAAGAACATGCACGGACACGAACTAGATTTATGTAAGAATGCTAACTATTCAGGTAGCAATGATGGTCAGTGAATTTTCACCAATCAGACCGCAGGAAAATCAATAGTCACCTCGAAATTTATACTAATTTTAATATGAGCGTATTTTCGAATAACTTCAAGGTCTACAAAGCATTGCCATACAAATCTACCATCCAAATGCGGAAAGGCGGCGCTACAAAGACGGTTGATTTGAGTGTGAATCTGAATAGAGTGTAACCCAGTAAAACCGTCTTTGTAGCGCCGCCTTTCCGCATTTGGATGGTAGATTTGTTTTTCGTTCCACTAGAAGGCTTTCTTCACTCTTTCCGTTCAAAGATAAAGTCCCTAAGTACCTGAGATCTGGTGTAGTTAATTTATTTAAATGTCGATGCCACTTACGTCATTTACACACCAGAATATCAGAGCATAAGTATCATCTATCACTGGTAAACAGACCTCAAGCCCTGTTATGTCCAGTATACATTCGCACCTAAAGGCTTGCAGACACCCGGCTAGCTTTGACGAATTTAGAATCCTTTCTTCCTCATCTGACTCTTATGAGCTAATGATACATGAGAATCACCAAACTTAAGCAAACCTAAGCCTTCTCTTAATGTTCAAGGTAACTCTATCCCTCTCAATTTATTTTAGTCCTTACTTTGTATTGTCATCGTGTCGTGACGTCTCTGTCCCTTGTCCCCTCATGTACCGCTTGTCCTTACGTTGTCCTTGTTATCACCTTTTGTAAATTGATACCTTGTAAATATATTACTAGACGTCTACTTATTCAAATTATCATGTAATTTATCATTTAGTCTGAAGATGTCTTAAACGTTACTACCAAATATATTCTTATGACTCTCTCTCTCGCAAACATGAAGATGTTAGAAAGTTAACCTTTTCTGATAATAGAGAGAATTGCCAGTTTTAGGAAAGAAACTGGTTTAATCAATCAATCAATCAATCAAATCGTTTAATAAATATACATCTCGCAGTCATTAAGACTGAATTACATGTATAATACATCAATATGAATGGTAAAAATATGTATATTTTAAAAGTTATTAATATATTTACAACTACAAGCATTAAAAATTAGAGTTCATAACCTAAACAAGCTATATGACATCACATGCTACAAGATTACATTTAAGAAGTGTGTCTATTTGAATAGTTTGGCATAAAAGAGTTTTTAAAGCGATTTGTATAACATTTGATCGTTTGAAATGTTCTCTTTGTCCTTAACTGATTATTAATACCGTTGGTTCTTTCCGGTAATAAATTGGTGAGTTTATGGTCCTTGTTATCCACGATTTCATCAAAAAACTTCGTACATAGAGATTGCCGTCTTTCAAATAAGGTTGGAATATTGGCTTTCTCTAATGCATCAACATATTTGACTCCAGGAAAAATTATACCCATTGCTCTTTTTTGGACACGTTCCAATTCATCCGATAGGTATTTTGGTAAACTAGAATGAAACACTTGGCAGGAGTACTCTAGAATTGATCTTATTATAGCACAATAGTAGCAAACAAGGTCTTTTGAGGCTATGTCAGCCCGTTTTAATTGCTTGATGAAATACAAACGCTTTGCTGCCATTTTAGTAGTGTCATTGATATGATCGTTCCATTTCAAATCATTTCTCATCGTAAGACCCAAAATTTTTATTTTCTGAACACTTTCGAAGGGTTGATTGTCTACCTCTACTGCTTTAAACGTTGGAAAGGTCTTACTAAAACACATAGTAATTTCTTTGCAGCTTATTTTCCATCGACCATTTAGCAATATGATTAATTTCCTGTTGTAGATGACTTTCTTGATCTTGTAAAATTAGTTCGGAAATAGTGGTATCGTCTGCAAACTTCCACATCAGTGAGTCCGTTTTTCCAGACAATTCTAAGTCGTTGATCATGGCTACAAAGAGCCATAGGCCAAGACATGTTCCTTGGGGCACTCCAGCCGGTACACTTTTCCAGCCAGAGAAGCATTGATTATTAAGTTTTATTCTCTGTTGTCGGTCTCTGAGAAAGTCAATAAGCCAGTTGATGGTTAAGGATTTGACACCAAGGCTTAAAAGTTTGGCTATCAGAAAGGTTATGGTCTATCATATCAAATGCCTTTTTGAAATCCAGGAAGGCAGCACGAACAACAACAGCTTTTCCATCTGTCCTTTGTAACCAGTGATGAATCATTGATATGAGAGCATGAGTAGTTGATGATCTAGGTATAAATCCATACTGATTTTTATCGATAGATCTTAACAAGACAGGTTTCAAATCTTTTTCAATAACAAATTCTTCAGCGATTTTGGATAGACTAGAAGTAAGTGAAATCGGTCTTAGATCCTGTGTAAACTCTTTGATGGTCGACGCCTTAGGCAAGGGAACGACATCGGCAATTTTCCACAATTTGGGAACATGGCTGTTTTGGAAGGATACATTTAGGATTAAGGTAATTGGTTGTGAAAGGATATCCGCATAATCTTTAGTATCCAATTAGATAGTCCGTCAGGGCCTCCGGCTTTTGAACGGCTGACTTTTCTTAATTTTTTACAACCTCAATTTCTGTAACTTCGATGAATGGTTCATTCATATCCATAGAGACATGTACATTCGGTGACAAAGGAGAATAATCATGCATTACGCTTATAAATGCTTCATTAATTTTTCGCATAAAACTTCTTCATCATAATCTAGGTCTGGCGATAGCATGTCTTTAAGGTTTCTTGTATTGATCTTGTTATTTCCACAGAGATGTTTAACCTCCTGCCACCACTTGCTAGGTTTCACATTTCAGGTGTGCTAAGTTTTAGTGATTTTTTCCAAAACACAACTATTATTATAACGTTGTAAATATTTGCAGTAAGGTTGATAAATTTTGCATAACATGACTAAATCGTCAGAACTAATTCTAACAGAATTGCATCAATATTCAGCAAAAATCAAATTGAAACCGGGCTTCGCATTGATCACTCAGAAATTGATAAAAATATCTGCACTTTAGTCTTGACAAGTTTAAAATGTACTCTAAATCACTGTATACGAGTAGGACTGAAAGAGCCGGTGCACTGCGAAAGATAGAATTTAAATCACTGTAGAAAATTTCCGTGTACATACGCACGTACGCACCATAATGCATTGCGTTTAAGTTCGACTAGCCACCAAACTATGGGGCTCGCTCACGCTCGCGAGCTACCATAGTAGCTTCAGCATCAAAGCCAAGAATATGACAAAAACCACTACATTGACCAGTCCTTGCATAATTGACTGCATGCTGAATTGTTCGACCAATTGCCAAGCGAATTTAACGAGAATACAATAATAAGATTAGGCAATAAAAAGGGCTAAATAACGTATTACCGAAAAACACACAAATACAGGTTGAGTAAAAAACTGATTTATGCCTGATTTATTGCAAATTTGCCCGATATATATAACTCCTGTTATTTAGCAGAATGTGTTTAAAGGGCATCAATCATCTCCAAAACGGAGATGCTTTTTTTTTTAGGAGTTAAAATGTATTCTAATCCTCAGCAAGAGCGATAACACTTTTGGGGGAGGTGCGAATGTTTGTATTGATAGTATTTATATAAGAGTTCTTAATAGTAAAAACTACTTCTCCCCGGGACTGTAAGTCCGCAACTAGGGATATGATGTAGGCCTACTTGATGTAATGCGAAACGGAAGAATCCTAATAATTCTATGGACCTCAATCACGTGACAATTTCGAAGACATGTACAATAAAATTATCGTAGATTTTTATTTCTGCTCATAATCACCCTAAGGTTGGCTATTTTAGGGTAATTATATAAATTCAATACAATTGCAGGATTGAGATGTGGAATTAAGAGATTCGTCATCAACGCAGATGCCCCCCCCCTGCCCCCTTGGGCCGGGACTGAAAAGGATGCTCCTCTGGATTGCTGATGTTACCATGAACTGCACAATGCACAATATTATGCACAATAACACGTGTAATCGTGTAAAACATGCGGCAGAGCGCATGTGCAAGACAATAAAATTCATATGGTTAGAAAAAACCGAACTACTGAAGTACGGAGTAAACAATGGGAATTAGAGTTATGAGATTTACATGAACATATCACAACAATTTGGTTGATGGGAGAGTTTAACTGATGCAATCTCATTTTTTTTCTGTGAAAGCAATCCATCGTATTTCAAGGCTTTCGCACAGAAATGTTTTTTAAAAGGCGTGTAGCATTGTTAGAATAAAGTTGTAGAATTTTAGATTTGGGCACAAAGCTAAAAAATGCCAATTGTATTTTTTTAATGCAAAATTCGTCAAAATTCATGGCCTAGTCCCTATAAATCAGCAGAATTTTGTCAATTCAAAGTCTCTCAAACGTCATACCTTACGTTACATGATGTTGCTGATGGTTTTTACTGGAATATTGTCGCGTACACCACTCAGAAATAGTTCTTTCCATTTCACCCAGCCATCGTTATTGTCCACTCCTGATTCAACCGCACCGCAAAGGTCGACCGACTCTAGAGTTGCACGAAGTCCGTGGAAGTTCGCTCGGTTGTAATCAAATACAGATCGTTTTATTTTCGGCCGTGCTTTGAACGTTGTCGCGATGTCAAACGAGATTGTCGAGTGGTCGGTTATTAACCGCTCTGACTGGGGTTGAGTAAGGACATATTTTGAACATTTTCCGCAACACTGCAGATAACAAGATCGAGGATGTGGTTGCCTCTTGTTGGAAATAGGTTTCCTTGTGTTAGGTAGTGATCGTTCAAAAGTTCAGTGAACTCGACTTCGTCCTCGCCAATTGTTAATTCTGGCGATTCCCAGCAAATCTTAGGAAAATTGAAGTCACCACAAATCAGTATGTTGGTCAAATTTGAACACTTATTGGCCAAAAAGAAGTTGAACTCTGATA